TCACCCCATGGTTTGGATCCCCCCGTCCCCTCCATTTCACCCCATGGTTTGGATCCCCCCGTCCCCTCCATTTCACCCCATGGTTTGGATCCCAAACACCTCTGGACACCAGTGTCCCCATTTCAGCTCCCGATCCCCACGATCCCAAAGCACCGCTGGCTCCCAGTATCCCCATTTTGGCCCCGTATTCTCCTGGATCCCAATCCCACGGGTGCCACCAGGGTCCCACCCGGCCCAGGGACGCTGGCACCCCCACCCTGGGACCACCCGGCTCTGGGAGGGCTCCAGGGGTGTTTGCTGAGCTCCACCAAACAGAGGAGAGGAAAAAGGGAATAAAGAAAGGGAAAGCAGCTCCTATGCAAACACAGCCGAGCCCGCCGAGAGCCTCCAGCCTTTTTATCTCCCCAGGGCCGTCATTGCGGCTCGGTGGCACCGAACCCACCGTTCATCCCTGCGGCTCGGTGGCACCGAATCCGCTTTCATCTCTGCGGCTCGGTGGCACCGAATCCGCTTTCATCCCTGCGGCTCGGTGGCACCGAATCCACCGTTCGTCTCTGCCCCTCCCGGGGCCCTTCCCTGCCCAGCGCGGTGCCAGCGGCGGCGGGAGGGGTCCCAGTGCCGCTCCCGGAATGCGGCGCCCGCCGCGGGATTTTTGGGCTCTTTTGGAGCCCAGACCCCCCCGGGGAGCTCCCGGCCGGGGGTCCCCGGTACCGCGGCTCCGGAGGTGCCCGTGCCCACGTCCATCCCCGAGGAGCTCGGTGGGCGGCTGCAGAGCAGAGGCTGCTCCCGGCCGGGCTCAGCCCCTGATGGCTTTTCCAGCCCTGCTCGGGGCCATTCCCGGCCCGGGGCAGCGCCGGCTCTGTCCCTGGGCACAGCAGAGCTGGGGGATGCTGCGGGGGATGCTGCGGTGCAGCTGCGGCCCAGGCCCGGCTCCCCGGCCCATTTCCTCCCCGGTAAAGCCCCGGTAAAGCCCCGGTTCTGTCCCTGGGCACAGCCGAGCTGGGGGATGCTGCGGTGCAGCTGCAGCCCCGGCCCATTTCCTCCCCGGTAAAGCCCCGGTAAAGCCCCGGTTCTGTCCCTGGGCACAGCCGAGCTGGGGGATGCTGCGGGGGATGCTGCGG